AAACAATTCACAGAATTTCCAGACGCAGAGCACTTGAACGAAGTTAAGCTTACAGTCTTGTTCGTCGCGCATGGAGGGGTGTGCCAGACGGGATGAGTTATGACAGTGCCGCGCAACGATTACTCCTGACACGCCCCTTCATCCGAAGCGAACAAGGCTGTGTTTGTCCAAGTAACGAACTCATAGACTAGGGCGGAAGCAGCAGGGCCACCTACAAAGAGCTCAGACCGGTAGCCCAATTTCAGACCCCCCAGACCAATCGAGCCCTTTGTAGGGAGAAACCTGGTACTACACCTATCTGGGAGTAACACGGCCCTATGCACTGACTCACCCCAGCAAGTGCACAGGCCAAATGCCTTGGAAATGCAGACAGTTCCAAGTGGCAGTAGAGCATTTCAGAAAGGAACTAGTCAGCGCTAAAAGCTTCGTCCTTTCTATGAAATGGAACTACTGACAAGTTAGTAACAATAGGAAATTTTCACGCTATCAGAGCTTCGAAATTTCATGCCATCATTACGGTTACAGGGCTTCTGTTAATCGAACATGCTCTCGATTAACAGAAGCCCTGTAACCGTAATGATGGCATGAAATTCACTGTGAGGGTCCAGAGATATTTTCGCATGGCATTTACTGACCAGAAAACGAAGGGAGAAGGGAAAAGGGAAGAGAGAAGGAAGGAAGGAAGGAAGGAAAAGGAGGGGGAAGAAAAAAGGGAGGGACGTTTCGCAGTTGACAAGTATCCTGAGATGCATCCTTACACCTGAGTAGAAATTCCTCTATGGTTAGTCAGCACCTGAGTAGAAATTCCTCTATGGTTAGTCAGGTGGGCGGTTACAAACCATTAGGAAAGCAAGCTGAATTTAGGGCTCCCTCAAATTTACAACTTTACGCCATATCCAGAAGCCAAATATACAGTCCTCATCATTGCAGACCGGTGACGCGGCAGCGATGACAGTCGCGTCACAGCCGAGTCACACGCGGCGCGGCTCACCCGCCCCACCGGTCTGCAATGATGAGCACCATAAGTCTGCAGGGAGTGGAATGTTAGGAGCGTTCATATTTTGCGGTTCAAGTGATTCAGCCACATGACCACGTCCCGCCACGTTCTACTGTAATCTTTGGACCGTCACGAAGGTGGGAAGAAGTTCTGTCCTGAACGCAACGCATTAGCAATCCCAGAGGTCCAAAGATGAGCAGTGGAGCGTCGTCCGTCATAGTCAATTGTGCGACTGAATAGCCCAAGTCGCAAAGTATGAACAGGGTATTGCATCATGTTGCCAAGATGCTTTTAAGGAAGCGTTGCGATTGCATAACATGCGCCTTATTTGAAGCAGGACCTAAACGACTTAATGAGGCTGCTAATGCGCGCTGCCATGACGCGTATGTAACGTCCTGTAGTCCAGCTTGTGACAAAAGAGCCAGACCACACGAGGAGAAAGTTTCCTTTACTTCTACACAAAAACGGCATATTCTCATTAGAAATATATCCCATGTGCACATATGCATGACTGGCCGCTAGCGAGAAGGAGAATCAGCATAGAAAATTCCAAAAGAAACGGGAAATTACAAAGTTACCCGTTCAACCGAACATGCTTTGGACGTGATGAAAGAAACAACCTAAGGCCCAGAAGGAAATGATGTGGGCTGAGACAGAACGGGCCATTGGTACGAGTCGACTGGTTTGCGTAAGACGTTGGGCTCGCTACAAAAGCCACAGTATGCGATAGGAGGAAGCATAAATGCTCCCTTGAAGGCAGTGAGCACGATGGCTGGGGATGGTTGGTGGATGTCATTGATGGAAAAGCTGAATGGGTGTGGCCGAATGTCTTCTCCCAGCTCTTCCACCAATGACGATGGCAGCAACCGCCCGCCCCCAGCCATAGTGCCCACTGCCTTTAAGTTAGCAATTATCCTGGGGTCTCCTCATCACTACTCTATGCTTCCACCCTCTCGGCGCACCATATAAGAGCACCTGGTTAGACGCCACGTTACGGTGACGTGGCGTAGGCAGTCTTGCAGGCGGTGTCGCGTGCGCGGCATCTGCACCAGGAGCTAATTCATTCAAAGTAGAGGTGCTACAGTATGTCAAACCAACTAGCTAGAGAAATACTAGCTAGTTTGTGTGCAATGCTGCATATGTGTGGACGTAATGTCCTACGCATTAATGACAGTGTGTGCAGAGTTACGACACAGCCATGGCGAAATAGGTTTTGCAAGCGGCGTCGAAAGCGCGGCATTCGCACCACGGTCAAACCCCCCTCAACATCTCAACAGCGCTGAACCTCAGCTCCCTCCCAACGACTCATACTGCGATGCTGTGACCAGGAAGAGACACTCTGACTCCCCACCACCTAACTAGTAAGCACTCACCTGGAGATCAGTGTTGAGGACCATAATCTTCTCAGTCGAAATAAACAAATCAATCTCAGTACTGGGCTGTATCTCTCCTTCAGGAGCCTGAAATATTGCAATCATTAAAAAATGGCACATGAGGCAATGCTAAACCACCACCTTCACTCTCGCCACAGCTTCTTGAGCCTGTGCCATCCTCGCCGCTTTGCTGCCACGACTTTCACACATCATTTGGGTTGACCCGAGGTAACGTGCACGGAACAGAACTCCCTCGATCAGAACTGCAGGTTCATGAACCATAGCTTAAACATCACAATCACTGTGTTCATTAAAAATAAACAATCTGAACTCAAGAAAACAATATATGCCACGATCTCAGGAACACCTCGAACTATTTTGCAAACAATATAAAGCCAGGAAAGGAAATATGAGAATGGGGTTTTGGAAAACATAATATGGTAGACAAGTCACAGTTGTTATTTATGTGGACCGAATCGTGGCAACGCTCGCAAACTACCTGTTACTGGTATCTAGTTGACTCGGAGCACCATTTTGGAGCCAAAGCAACTGTGTCATGGCAACATACGTCAAATAATGTTAAATTGGCCATCATTCAGAGAATCCCATCGGGATGGTATTAGTTCGCTACGGACGAAAGGGGTGCTTTTTTCGAGGTTCAGAGTATTTTTCTTGTTCGTTGTTTCTCGTTTCAGATGCATTATCTAATCTTAGCAACGCTCCAAAACTACTATTTCTAATGGTCAGTTGGAGGTGTCTAGCTGCCTTCTGCTCGACAGCAAGGTTTTGGGAAAATTTAGGCGGTAGTGGATGTATTAGGGGTCAGAGAAAGGGGGGACGTGCCGACATATCTTTGAAGAGCAGTAGTGACATCGAAATTCCTCACGGATGTGCCTTGTTTGAGTAATTTACCGACCACGGACGCTAGCGCTCTTGGGGAGAGAGGGGATCCGCGCCTCCGTATTCCTTCCCTAAGGAAGGCTGACGCTTAGAGCGCAGACGACCAGAGTCGCCGAGGGATTGTCTCACAGGAATACAAGCCCTCACATAGCTAAGCCTTCATTAGATAAAGGGATACGAAGACGCTGACAAGGGGAGACGAACAAGACAATAGCAAATTGTCGTACCGTCGCGCGCGGCAAATTGTGCGGCGACGCGCGATTCTCAGTGTGTATCGGTTTTTTTTACTGAAGCAGCAAAGCTCGCATGAATTCAAGCGGCGACAAGTATCTATGACATATCGTGATTTAAACCCGGATTTAAACCCGTTAAACCCTGAATTCGAACAACTAGGTTGGATAACTCGTCCGTCATGATGCGCGGCGTCGCTCGTCACGCCCACCAATGCGGCGTATTACGATTGCCTTGTCACATACGCGCTGACGAGTGGTCCTCCCCTCCCCTTCTCCACTATATTAGCACCCGACAATAGAATGTTCCAAGATAAGGTCGTGAAATAAATCGTATAGGACGACGGCCGCCATGAGACAAATGATTTGACGCCAAAGTACCATGCCGAGTCAACTAGCTAGTAATACAAGCTGGTTCGCGTGCGATGACGCGGCTCGAACCTTCTGTCTTCACCCACAATTCACATGAGCAAAGCAACAATTCCGAAGGGAATATGGGTACATCGCAATCAGCCTCACTCAGGAATAACTGAAAAGATCGGAAGAGCG